CAGTACACTTGCCTACTCCAATATGGCTTTCATCTAATGACAATAAGCCAATCACAGTAAGAAGGCAATATTACAAAGGCATAGATCCATATGGTTCGTATGATCCAGTGAAAGATGCACTCGCTGATCATGATCTAGTTCGTGGTATTAAACTTGATGGTCGTTATGTATGCTTTGATAAAGATGAAATTAATGAAGCAATGAAAAATATTGCTCCTGTTGGTAAGTTTTCCGCTGAAATTTGATTTTGTTGATGTATACTACTTATAGATTGATATGAGTAGGTGGATGCCTCTTTCATCAATCAGTGGTGATTGCTAGACAGATCTAAATGATATAACCACCACTGGACAACTGTTCCTCTTGCTTGTAGTCGATATCATCAGTGGTTCATTCGGTTCGACTCAGTTCACACCATTCGAATCCTAATTAGCTACTTAGAGTGAACTGGTGACACATTGAATGGAAGTCGTGACTTACGATTTCCACAGTCCGTGGTGAAACTTTACCATATTTTACTGTGGAAGCCGAAAATATTGCTGGATACTACTTCAAGTGACTGATAGTTACACCAAACTTTAATTCAGTATTCAATAAGTATGTATAGTAAGGAATTTATGGGAATTGGAGCTAGCATAGATGTGCATCAGCCTTATATCCCCCTTAATTCTGCCTAATTTATACTGATTATACCTTCTAACCCTCAAAATGGCTACATTTGGCAAGTATAACGGACTCATAGCAACCGTTGTATTTCGCAATCTTTAAAGGCTCTCATCAGTCATCAACTCTTTAAACTCTTCAGTGAATGTCAAAATTATTCAAAGTCTATATGTTCGTTTGGACACTAGTCAGTGACTAGTGTAGTGTGTCTACTCCTCCTGTAGGACTGTATTGAATATTTTTGACTGGGTACTAGTCAGTAACTAGTATCATGCGAGTCAGTGTTTGTTGAGCTACCTTTAGTATGTTTGTTCACAAGGCAGTGTGCATTGAAGATATTTGTCGGATATTGTCTAACCGTATGTATTTCATCAAATCATGATGGAAAACACTCATATTCAAATGCCAGAACTCGAAAAATGTTTATATACCCGACTGACTGACTGAGTTGCAGCGTTAAATTTTACTTGGAGACGTTTCAGTTCAGCAAGTTATCACACTCCATACAGCACACAAAGGTAGGGAGAGGGGAGAAGGACGAAATTCAGACTGGCCTTAATCAGCAGAAAAGTACGTGAGAAGGAAACCAACAGGGCGAAAGCATGAGGACTCAATGGACGACACATAATGAATGTGTTGTTGGTAATAGACAGTTGGAAGCAATCGGCAGGAAGCCTCTCCTGACCTAGGTTTCGTGTTAGTTGACACTTGCCAGTCAGTAAGGCGTATCTACAACCTCGAAGGAACTCATGTCCGTTCTGAGATTCGATTCCGCATCACTCAGTGAGTACTGCCATCAGAGACGTTGCCACCGAGTTATTCAGGCTGGCTTGCGATTGACTTCCTGTAGGACTGTATTGGATATTTTTGATTGGTCCCTAGTCAGTAACTATTATCATGTATGTCTAGTCCTTTGTTTACTGTAGACTGAATTCTATCAGTCAAGTTTGCAATGTAGCCACCATGCCACTAGGTGACTTACCATCACGGTGCACTGTGAGTTTTTGATATTAGATGGTAGGCAGGAAGTCCTGCTTGGACCTAGGTTTCGTGCCAGTTGGCACTCACCAGTCAGCAAGGTGTATCTGCATTCTTGAAGGAACTCATATCCTTTTAGTGAGTTGAATCCACGAGTAAAGCCTGTACATAATTGGTTCAGTGATAGAACTCTCGCCAAACACGCCTCACGTGGTCTGGTGTTCGACCCCCAGGCACCATGCCACTAGGTGGCTCGTCATCATGGTGCACTGTGAATTGTTGACAGTGAATGTATCCATGACATTGAGAACAATTTTCAACCCATACCTCGTTACTTGGCTTGGCTCAAAACAACCACTAGAGACTTCATGATATACATATACCTCTTGCATTTATTCACACAAATGATTGTCGTTTTATCGTTTTCGTATTGTGGTTGTTGTTGTTTCGTTGTTGTGGTCGCTATTTTATGTTTTCTCTCAATGTTCATTTATGCTGCATTTATTGTCTCTCTGTCCCTGTGCGTCTCTTTCAGGTATCCATCTGTTGGGTTTTATATCAATGAAATTTTTAAAACGTTTCTATTATATTCGTCCAGCACAGTTTATTTATCCTGATGAAGCATCGATACACGGAAGTTGTTTATGGTTTACAGCTCTGCTGAATCGTTGTCTACATCGTAAACTTTTAGCTATAGCTGTATATGTTCAAAGAAAGGGACAATTTCCACGTCTTATTGCACTTTATCCTCAAGTAAGCGATTAATGATGATTTAATGATGATTATTGGATTGTCTTGTCTTGTTTGTTTGTTTGTTGTTGTTGCTGTCATAATTTCACTAATGACTGTGAAATAAGGTGTTTCTTGAGTTAGATGAAATTATAACACTTTGTACAGCAAGAACCTTAACGTTGTGTAGTTTGCTAGCTGGCCCAAAGTGTGGTTAAAGGGGGAGGGGAAATCAATCGACGAGGCTGTGAAGCTACCTCGACTGAGATGGTTAGGATATGTGTTACGCATACATCTCTAGCCATCGCCCTCCTCGACGGGTAATGTTAGCTGACATAGGGTCAGGTTGGAAAAGAGCCAGCGGTGGTCAAACCAGAACATGGCTTCATCAGTCAATGAAATACACAACAGTTAGTTCAGGCCAGCCAGGTAGGAAGGTGTAGACCTTCCTACTGGTTGGGGTCCTCGGGACGGTAAAAACCGATGAAGGCTGGAGACAATCGGTGATATGGCTCAAAGTGATCGTTTTCAATGGCTGGCGCAGATGCATCCACTCCTTATGAATTGTAATTTCCAATGAAACTATATTGTTCTTCGTTATTGCTATTCCTTTTTTCTCATATTTTCGTCTACTGTCATTACTTTGCATTTCTTTTACTTTCTTCTCTTGCTTTATGCGCTACATGTGATGAGTGTGACGACCGGAACTACTGCACATCGATGCAAAGTTCTATGTTGAAACCAGTCAGTAAAGGGGGAGTGTTGAGTGTGTAGGTCTAGGGAACCTACAACACTAACCCAGTCAAACTGTTGCAGAAACATCAGCGCATAAGAAAAATATTAAATATACAAAAAAATGTAAAAAAACAATCTTATTGTTCTTTGGAATCGGAGAGGCGAAATGACACAGCAGCCTGGTGAAAGCCCGCCTTCGGGAAGCTAGTCAACCAGCTGATGTGTCTTCTTTCAATGAAAGCAAGGATAAGAATGGGGACGTGGAATGGCCGTACAATGTACAAGGTTGGCTGGGAAGGCTGCCCAGGTAGCTAAAGAAATGAGAAGATATGATATCGAAGACTTGCAGGTGAAAACCAACAGACTGGCTGAAGAAGCAGGCAGTGAAGACAGGACTCCAGGTGAACATAGAGAAGATAGAGGCGATGAAGATAACCAACCAACTGCAACAACGAACAGCGCTAATGACCATCAACAGGAGGGATTGGACAGAGGTTGTCTCCTTCACTTATCTAGGAGTCGTCTTTTCAACTGCAGGCAGAAAGAATGATAATTTCAAAACCACAATCGAAAAGGCACGGTGGATATTCGTCACACTAAAACAAGTTTGAAAATCTTCTGGATTCACTCAGTGTACATAACAAAATTTGGATTTTCAAAACCAAAGTTAAGTCACTTTCATATAGATCAGAAACTTGCATTCAACGTCACGAAAAGCGTTTCCATCGGTCTACTGAAGACGTTTATCAACAGCTGCCTTCGTAATCTCCATTTTAAAGATCAAATGGCTGGCCGGCCAGAAAGAATTATCAACAAGGAACTATGAGAACGAAACGACTAAAAACCTAGTACTCAACAAATATTCCGAGAAAATTGGAGATATCTAGGATACACGCTGAGGAGATCGTCAAATGATATCGCCAGACCGCCCATTGTTCAAGTGCAGTCCGAACGGGCAACGACGAATTAGGCGTAGTTGAGCGGGTGACGTGTAGGAGATCGTGTGGCGAGGTGGAGATGAGAGCCTAGAGGCAATCGTAGAGCCAGCTAAAGTG